ACTCTTCGTGGAAAGGTTTAGTCTAGCCACCATAACTGTTTTCGGCCGGACAGACAGATAAGACTAGTTCTTTCTGGGACAGTAATTCACAAAAAGGGATAACGCGCGATGGGACAATCGCGCTAGCGGCCTTTCCTGGCGAGCTTTTCAGTCAGACATGAACTCGCTCTGACTGGAATCACCACAGGAGCCCGAGGTGCAAACAGGATCCGACTTTCCGAATCACTGAATGGGAAGATACAGACTCAAACTCTGACAGTTGTAATTGGAAATAACCTAGTCAAAGCCATTAACCCCACACAAGAGCATATCAAAGTATCACTCGAATTTAAAGCCACGACACGTAGAAATTTAACACTAAAAAAACAATTTTCGTGACATTTTTCCGCAAAATGAGATGAGGCCAATTTGAGGTAGTTTCGGACAAGGAAGTCGAAAGCATATTTACGAAAATTTAGCATGCCACTTAGGACGGAATTCGGAAAACCACTAGGTTGTCGAGAAACTAGTTTTCCGAAAGGTGGGGTCAACCCGGCGCGACCTGCGGATGCTCTTAATTGCTGACATGAAAAATTCATGTTAATATCTCACGTTTGAGTGAAGATGACGCGCGGATTGCGCTGATTAATGAGGCTAATAGGAATTGACGAGATATTAACGAGAGGGTACCGTGGCAGGTTGGACAGGCACTTGTCACGAGACTCCTGGAGAGTCGGGCTTTTGTTCGCCGTGGCCGCTTGATGAGGAAGGCGATTCAGAGGCACTAGTATGCCCCATCGACATGGTCACAATTGCAGCAGACACTAATTGCTTGAAATAATCATTATTCCACACTTCGACTTGATCAACACATTCAAAGCACTTTGTCAATATATTCTCAGTTCATTTCTCAAGGACCATACCGTGATGTTTTTACCAACAAAAAGGGTGAACGACTGCTGACCCTTGTTTCGTTCCGAACATTATGGACCATCATGCTCAACGTACCACCAGCACACTTTACACTTTGCAGAGCGGACGGTCCGATCTTCGGTTCGCTGACGTTGAACCCTCACCGTCCGTATCCACAGTCATCAACTCGCCGCGCTAGCCGTTCACGATCGCTCATATTATTTGAAATAACTGGGAGTTACTTCAAGTAGCGCACATTCCCAGCAACTAACAAAGAGAACTGCGCCACTAAGAAAAGCGCTAGTCTCCATACTGTTTGTCGGTCTCCCAGTTATAAAACATTGTTCCGGAAAAAAACCCCAGGTGTAGATTGAGAAGTTCTGTAACATGAAAAAGTACGGCCTCTAATTCAATTCAATGACGGTGTGTGTGAGAAGGACCTCATGCATTACACAACGGTCTCATTCTTTTCAAGAGTTTAGGTAATTTATAATTCCTCTCAATATACTGTAGCAACTTGAGCGTTCGACCGGGTCTATGAATATTGCTTACAGAGGTCCCAAGTGTCATGGTCGTATTCATTTGCATTTACCCGTATCCACCTTCAACCATCAAGCGAGACACCAATTTTCAAACACCTAGCTTGAATAAATCTGCATTTCTGTATACACACTCCTCTACCGTCCCTTGGTGCGACGTCTAACCTTTCGCCCGAGAAATTCCGCAGCTTACCTTCTGGAAAGACCGCGCGCATTTTGAGGTAACTGGTAGCTAGCCGAATCACCGAGGCTTTATCCAGCTGACTGGTAATGGCCGATGGAAGTGGAAGCAATTTTCCAAGCTCGATAAACTCCGCGTTCTCTTTTTCGCGCCGCGTTCGAGCGGCATTTTTAGACTTTTCTTTCATGGCGCCTTATCTGTAAATAATCATCATATAATATTCACAGTTCGTTCCAGATTCCGCTTTCACCACATCAAGTTTTCTGGTTGCTTCGCCAGAGTGACCTTCTGATAGCATGGCTCACATCAGTTCTCATTTTAGTAGTGTATGAACGACGAAGAAGTCGCGTACAGCCGAAGAGCATGGATGTGCGGCCCTGAATGGACTCCGACCTTCTCCGAGTTTCGAAGACTATTTGTCAGAGAAGACATGAAGATGAAGAGCTCAATAGCAGTTCAAGACAATATTGTGGTCAGAGAAAGTGATATAGGAGCGACAGATAAAGCATAGAACAAGCGCAATTTGTCACGTTTCACCACTAAACCCACGCTTGCAAGCTCGCTTTAAAATCCATTCATGCAGCAGATATTTTCATTGATGTGAACCGAACTAGCCAGTCATTTAGATCACCAACACTGGTGTAAACATTTCAACATGCCCTCTCTGACATATCTAGAGCGAGGTATTTCTTTCCACGCGCACACATGGCGGACCTCGAAGAAAACTCGATGTGTGAAAGATTCCGCTCAAAACTTGAGACGTACTTAAGATACCACTCACCTGGTGGAAATTCGCCGATCAAAAAGCCTTTCAAAATGGGATCAGCAGTTCGTATGGGAATTTATTTGAGCAATAAGGTCACCCATCTGTCGGAGTTCGTCAGCAAAGGTCACCGTGGTTCCTGCGGGCGGCGTTTTCGACACTTCAAAAGAACGACTAAAGATCGAGTGTTCAGCAATTTTCGTAACAAATCTTGATCAAATTTACAGCAAACCATGTAAGACGGACCCTTCGTCAGACCGAAAGTCTTTGGTGTTATAAAATTAGAGGACGCGCTGAATTTCTCGTGTTGCTCGATGATATGCACTCGACAGCTGTAAAAGTGATGAAACTTTAGCCTGACATCCGCTCGTGTCAGCTTGAGCCAATGGCGATATGGTAGAAGGAAGGCCAATCGGGAGAATAACATAAGCTTGATGTATTGCTACCGTATGGCAGCAGTGTACACTATGCGCCACTGTATGGTGCACATAAACATACGTCGAGCCCATTAACCATAGCTTCCGTTTGAGCTTGTTGAGTAGAAACAGGAGTTCGCTGACATCACAGTATCCACAAGACCACCTCGGCTTCTATTTCGGTGGCGCACTGTATACCACCTCAAGCCGTTTGTGACCACGATGTCGTCCTCAAGTTGAAGCGCGCCTATCGTCGAAAGAATGCTTTGCTTCCATTACTTTCCTCGGGTCGCATGGGTCGCATGCATCTTGTAACCTGGCTGGTCATAACACCAAGATGAACTGCAGTAAGTTAGTCACTTATTTATCTAGCAGATACAAGTGATATAAAGTGTAAAATCGGTCGTTAGAACGCCATCCGGTCACATATACACCATGTAACAGCGCTACGCCCTGACTGACACCGGTTCCGGATCATGTTTGTTGGGGCCGCAGATTTAGCCAGTGCGTATGCGAGGTCACGATCTGATCTTTCCTAATGTAGCCAAGTCAATATCATACTTTCTCGTACGGCAAATGGAATGTAAACCCTTATAACATTGGAAGAATTTTTTCCCAGAACAATAGCGAGTATTTGCAGAATGCTAAAAGCGCAAAAAACTCGGCTCTCAGATTTCGCCCTAATTATTCATGAAGTGGTTCCCGCTTTAAATTTGCATGCTCTCGGCCACGACCACGTTCTTTGATTGGTTCTCATTTGAGCTATAGCTAGAACTTCAAAGAGTCAAGTTCCGCACACCTCTGCAGATTTCTCTCAAGCCCACACCATCCATAAAACTTCGGTTGATGTAGAGCTATCCTGCTACTCGGCTTGCAGAAATTCTGAGATGGGTCGCTGTGCTTCCCAGTGTATATTTTGGTATTTGGGTAGTGAGACATCATATATTCTTCGCGTACGGATTCGGCGACCGTAGTCTGTAGCCGGTCTGATAACGGTGCCGAAAGACCACAATCGTTAATGCGATGATTCTGTTGGCTGTGCATTTGCATGTCAAGCAAAATACCTCTGCAGGATCCATCGCTCATCTATTTGTTTAGTTGTGAAGCAAGAGCGGACATTAACTCCCGCATGAACAAAGTGGTGGTATTTTGACTTTGCTGCTGGACATTGATGTGCAAACAGCCTATTGTCACTGCTGACAAAGGGTTAGCCGTTAAATTTGCATAAATTCGTTTGAGGGCTGTACAAATGTACGCCACTCTCGAGGCATTGTTCGTCTTGCCGGAAATGTCGACAACGCTAACGAACTCTGTCAAGCTGTACTACGTATACACCGGCGTGCTCTGTATTGCACCGGCGACCACCGTTGCTACAATGCTCGTACGGACCGCCGCAAATGATGAGTATCGTGTTCTTTCAAGTGGGCCTTCTTGAGATATTACAGGCAAAGTTCATTGGGGAAAACATTTTGGAAAGGAAAACGCAGGTTAGGAAGATGTAAGCATGATGACATAGGGTTATCTGACACCAACCTTACCACTTCAAAGGCCTGGTTTCTCCTGGTTCAGCTAATAAAAGCCACCGGATATGGCGGTAGGGAGGAAGAACCAAGTAACGCAATGGCTGCAGTGGGAAAGAAAGTAGCTGATGTGCTTCGAAGGGCCACTTCAACCCAGATAACCAGAACAGCTACTCGAAAGAAACAACAATCTGCACCAATGATGTCAGTTCGGTTCACACAAGCTAAAACATGTTCAGTGAAGTATCTCGTAACCTTCATCGTTCAAGCAGCGTTGTGATGATGATTTTTATTCCATAAACTAGAGCTGCACAGCTAACTTCGGACATCTCGGTATTTTTTCCAACCCACCCAGCTTCTCCTGGTTTCGAGTCGAGCGGAAAGAGTCGATGCATCTTTTACTGATCGACCCAAGCAACCGTGGCTCCACCTGACGAAGAAGTTCAGTAGTCCGGGCGGTAAAGCAGGATGGAAAGTTCACGCGTGTGCGTGCTTCTGCGAAACCGCAGGACAGTATTCCGTAAGATGTTTTCGATACAGAGTTGAAAGTTCAATCTCTTCCCTCATCCGCCGCAAGGAAGAATATAATCTGGGTAGGCAGGAAAGGCGACCGTAGGAGGAACTGTGCACTGACACTGGAAGAGCATTCCAGGATGAACCACAAACTTTCGACCTGGAGTTGACGAAAATGCTCGATTGGCTCAGCCGGTAGAGCGTAGGTCTCATAATCCTAAGGTCGTGAGTTCGAGCCTCACATCGAGCAGTTTTTACATTTGAAAAACATGAATCATTTTTTTTAGAAGCCGGTCGAGAGCCTGGCGGAACTGGTCGTGCAAACGCAATGAACTTTGCGGCAGACACACAACAACAAATAGAAGTTTCAGGTCTTCTTCGGATTGTTGTGCAGCTAAGCTGCGCAGCGCCGTTATCGAGAAAAATAAACTTCAATCGGTTTTCTACGAACAAACCAGAGTGTTGAACAACCTGGATCTCTTCCATTCCCGGTCCAGTTTTCGTGAAAGGTGTTTTTAGATCTGTTGCAGTACGGCATGAAGTCTGGATTTCGCTGCTTGATCAAGACAGGAAATTCTCAATTCTTACAAAGCCGAACGACTTCAAAGTCAAAACCAATCAAGGTTCTATAGTGAAAAGCCTATCTGATCTTGCCATGGAATAAACCTAGATTCCAACAAAACCGTGAGGCCTATCCAGAAGGTCTTTCTCAATGGAATGCTTTCAGTACAAAGAACTATTTAATGGACACAGTATAGTGGATAAAAATCGTTAAACGCGAACAAAGAACAAACTTTTGTCAACATCCACATTCGTAAGCCCGAATGTCCTACCAAACTCGCTAAGCGGCACACAAAAAGAGGGAGAACTAAGTAAATAACGCGGGCAGATGCCCGCACCGTCATAGCGACATAGCCTAACAGTGTTTGTCAATTTAAGAAGCCCGACTACGGCAGTCGGAACTAAGGGAAAAGTACAAAGCTAGAATTGCGTACTGGAGGATACAATTCTTATAAGGTCGTGGAAATAACGAGTCAGTAGGATGCACTTCACTCTCCGTCAAAGGAAAAGTTAGAACCACTGGACAATCAGAGGCTGTGGAAACTCTGCACTCATTTGGGACGAAAGTTGTTGTTTCTGAAGCGTTTGAAATCGCCATCTGGGTTTCTCTGGCCCAGACCCGCGATATTGGGATTGAACTGTGACTGATCAAAGTCCTGAGGAGATCCACCAAACTGGCCAGGAGGAGGACGAACTCCTGGATTACTGAAGCCATTGCCCGCAGCCAACAACATCTGAATATTCTGGCCAGAAGACATTCCAACACCAAAAGGTTCCTGGGGAGGCAACAACACAAATTTCGTCAATTAAAAAACCTTCTCTATACAAACCCACACCCGCTGCGTACGCGTCTATGCCAGTTCCATACACCAACATCGTCACTCAACTTTGACTTAAAAACCTGATCTTGCAGACTCTAACCCAAGTCAAAAATTTCAGTCGTGAATCTGGAGACCTATCATTACCGTCAGATACAAACCAAATATCCAACCACCGACACACAGTCAATCTAACGACATTGATCTAACGGTTGTACATCCTCGTTACTCAACACTGCCAACGTGGTCAGAGTACTACAGGACTTTCACACTCACAGACCTCACTTGAAGATTTCAGAGCCCTGCTCACTAGTCAGTATAATTCCCTCTCACATCACGAAGAAACAAGAAACGCGCACATGCAACCGCTTGAAAGCAGTGCCTGATCTCGTAATCAAGATGAGAACCTCCAGTAACATTATTTCAGTTATCTTGAGAAGCACGCTTTTGGAATTCTGGCCTTGTCGATCATAGTCAAGGTTCCACAGCCAGCATCATGCAAACCAAAAGTTTTGCGTCTACCCTTATTAATACACACCAACCCTATACTCGGTATCATCTTCCGATACATCAAGCACTCAACGATGTGGATATGACTATATGACTTACCCCGAATGGACGGTTGCTTTGTGGAGCTCCTATAGCAGGTCGAGCGACACCTGCGAAGACAGAAGACCGTATTCCGCTGTTAGACATCCACCCCATAGAAAAGAGAGAACCATGGACAAAGTCGAAAATGTTCTCAAAATGTATATGTGAAACCTGGCAAACCGGCTGGGAAACCTGGGGGTGGAACGGGCAGTCCTGCCAACTGGTTGTTCATTCCCGACTGCATCATAGACAGTTGTTGGGGAGCCGAGAACTGGTTCGATACCGAACCCGAAGAATTCGAGTTCTTGTTTCCCCTCGCTCTACAAAATTCAACCAATGATGATCGCGAGCGTCAACGTTACTTCGATCCAGCAACAAAATTCGAGACTCGCTCGGGATTACCTTTGAGTACGCTCCAGCAACTGCTGCATCTTCAGGGTCTCCGCCGCAATATCTAAACAACAATATCGACGGGTAGTCATAGTAAGGTAGCATATCAAATCACCATTTGAACTCAGAACTTGGATAAAGAACGAAGGACGATTTTCATTAGTTATATTCGAAACCGGTGCTTACTTTGCTTAATCTTGTTGATTTCGATGTCGTCTACGCTATGCTCCATTTCGTTTTCCAGATGTTCAATCTGATTCTTAAATTCGATTTCGATTTGTCGAGCTCGTGCTTGATGTTCGTCCAAGACTCTCTTCCATCGCATCCCAAAATCATGTTCTAACGAGCCAGGCAGAGCGAAGTGAGGCGGCTGGGATGTTTCACTATAAAATGTCGAAATAGGTACGTATGACAATTCTCGTCAACGTTGCGAACTTAAGCTCAAATTCATAAGAACCAAAAGCCCTTCTATAATCTTTATTGAGACCCTTCAAACACCAGATACGATAGTGCTGCGTTGACTTACTTCACATATTCTTTGCGCATCGCCATATGAACTTCAGGCAGTCCATCTTCGCTGTCTTTCTGTTCCAGCATCTCTGCGATTACGGGCCTGGGTGATCTGTAAAATTGAACTCGAATATCCCTTCTCAAGCGTGTCCCGTTAGACTCGTTTCCGGCCAGAATGTCACTCGAAAGCGAGTAATTACCCGCCAAGAAGGAACACTCCGCTGTTGACTTGCTTCAGCGCTTGTTGCGCACCAGGCTTCCGAGCGAAGTAGACGACTCCTTCTCCGGTAGGTTTCGACTTGTCATCAATCTCCACCACAGCCTTGTCGACTGGCCCAAACCTCTCGAAAGCACGGTGAAGAAGCTCGTTGGACACATTCGGCCCGAGATTCTTCACGCGAATGCCTGCATTGAATGTGGCAAACCTAACGCGCAACACTCGTCCTTTGAAAGTCGTCCCATCCAGTGCGTTCTTTGCCGTCTCCGCATTCTGCCTCGTATCCTGAAATCACAAGCATTCCCAGTTGGAAAAATTGGCTGAATTTCAACAACTAAACAAAACTTGAGAAGTACAGCTGGCCAACGATTCAACGCAGGTCGTTATCTGGAGTGGCGCACGTTTTCGGTGTTATTGGCTGACCGCGTGCGCCAGTTAGGAAAATGATATTAGTAAATTCATTTGCCGACATCCCGAATGAAATTATTCCGTCCAGAGATCAGCAGATCGAAGACTTACCAGTCTGACGAATGCATACATCTTCTGCTTGTCCAGAAACACGTCCGGAGCGACCGTATATGTAGTGAACATCTTGACCAGATCGTCCTCGGTGGTATCCGGTGTCAAGTTGCCCACGAAGAGTCTGGACTGAGTTGTAAACTTCTTCCCTTGGTCATCCTGATCGTTCTTGTTATTCCCAACAGCGTTCCCGGAGTTCTTTTCTGGACTGCGCGGGCTGTTACTGTTATTCTGCTTTTTGTTGTCGTTAGGGTTGAAACGACTGTCGCGGTTCTTGCGCTGGTTATGCTTCCATCCAGCACGACCGTTCTGATTCTTCTGATTGCCGTCGTTTGTGCCTTGCTCAGGCGCAGCTTCGTCCTTGGTAGTCTCTCCGGAACCTTCCTTGGCAGGGGCGGTTTCGCTCGGGAAAGTCGCTGCTAGACGAGATCCTCCGTTGGTTCCGTTCTCGTTGTTTGCTTCACCTTCAACCGTGGCTACAGCAGACGAAGATTCCTCCCCCTTAACCTCGTCCGCCATCTTGCTTTGCCAAAAGGATCGTCGTTGAGGAGACTAGTCCTTGTTGAATTCCACGGCTTCTTGAGAGAAGGGAATATGCCTAAATAGACGAAGGGTCAAAACAACAGCAAAAGGTAACACGAACTAAGTCAGCAGAACCAAAGGGAAATTTTCATGTACATCCAGTGGATAGAGAATGACAACAATCAAAGATGGAGGCTGTTCTATCCTTAGCTGCTTATCGATAGTCGCATTAGGGAGGCCTCAAGATAATGGGCTTATGTTGTGAATGAAGGTCAAGAGCTGGTAGTGCCACAGTTCCAGAAGAAGAGTCCTAGAAGATGACAAAGAAGATGGAATTTTAAAATTTGAATTTTTCTAGCTTCCCAGTTCCCATTTCAGTATAGAGTTTGCGAGGACAGGTCAGGTCTCATAAACTGCCATCTTGTTTGCGACTCTCAGGTTGTAGTCTCAGATCGGGACAAATCAACTCCGCCCCAATCAAGCTTTAGAGTCAGTAGTGACGTCACCAAGTGCATGCGAAGAATTTCTGGTGGCTTCAGCCCCCATATACTAAATTCGAAACAGTACAGAGAAGATTAGCATGGCCCCTGCGCAAGGATGACACCCAAAAATCGTGAAGCGTTTCCAAATTTTTTTCTCCTGGATACCGCCTACTCAAACGGGAGAAAATGAACCAGGTCTTTTACCCGCTGTCTCAAATCCCTGCTGGGAGTAAGGCGAACCTCGCCTGACCACGGGGTGTATCACATAACGGGTCTGCTTCCGCTGAGCTTTCAAATTGCCGAGATGACCGTACAGCTCTATATGAAAACAGCTCGCTCGTCCGTGAAAGCTTGAAATTTGTGCCTTAAAGCAAATCCTAGCCGACCGTAAGTTACGGGGAACCATATACAAAGGCTTCCTGCAGCCTGCCTTCGGGCTAAATGAATCAGACTCTGTAGAGGTCTAAATGGCGAAAATATCCTGCTTCAACCACTCTGAGTTCTTCGCATTAGCCAAGAACCAGTTTCTTACAGCCATTCAGAGAATGGTTGCTCTCTCACCAAAGCTCGACCTTTTTGTGAAATTTTCCCCTTCCGATGCTCTGCCAGGTTGGCTTTCCGACAGTTCTAGGTTCCCTGT